ATCATAACTTAAGTTGATTTAGATGAAGTGTATCGTGAAGGAAATGAACAAACAGTCAATAAACTTCAACAAGCATGGAATAAAGCCATTTCCCCCCATATGTACGTTCCTCAATCCAATTGAAGAGCAAAAACAAAATGACAACACACACACACACACACACACACACACGGTGCGCACATTTCCTGCTTGACATAAAGCTGCACTTCCACTTCCCAAATTGTCATCTCTCAATTGAAATTCTGCCAAACTGCTTCCCAGGTGTGCTCCAGTGGTTTTTGCATTCACTTCTGAAGAGAATAACATGATCCAATGCAAGATTGATTATGTCTTCTTGGGGGAAATTGAATCTGTCATGCATGTCTTACTGCATTTTTGGTACGGCTTAGTTCACAGGCTTAATAACTCCTTTGCTGCTAAATTATTTTGGTAGGTCAGAAAGGAAATGTTTGGTGGAGCTTGCTGTGGAGTTGTCTTCAGAAACTTCTAAAAAGTAGCTACGTTTTGTTAAATCCATGCTGTTCTGTTGTTAATGGTTTAGGCTTTCAGCTATCAAACATGTATTCGCATGCATAGGAATACATACACACGTATGTGTATATAGAGAGGGAGAGAGGGAGGGAGGGAGGGAGGGAGAGAATTAGAATAGGATTTAAGGGAAGAGCAAAATATTTTGGCCTTGTTTATTTAGGAATAAAACAAGTACAAGCATGCAAGAGTAAGATTAGAAAATTGGATGCTGTTTCATTAGTAGAGATTTTGCCATCTTCCATAAAACTGGAATTCAGGATTATACAGTGAAATGGATAGGTGTTATATTCAAAATAATAGCTATTCTCTTTCACAATTTGTTTCAATGCAAAAAATATATTTATAACTGATGGCATTTTCATTTGGGAAAAGAAAAAGAAAACAGCTTCATGGAAAATGGTTCTGCTAAGTCCTGTTATGATGGCTAGAATAGAACTTATGGCTTCATAAACAGCTACAGGAGAGCTGCTCTAATTGTATCTTGCTTGTATAGTGATGCTTAGAAGTTTGTGAACCTTTTTGGTTTTTCAATATCTTTTGCATAAATATAACCTAAAAATATGTGTTTTCCACACACTTTCTAAAAGTAGATAAAGAGAACTACATTTAACCAATGAGTCACAAGACATTATGCTTGTTCATGTATTGAAGAAGATGATCCAAAACCACATATTTGTGTGTGGCAAAAAGCATGTGAATTTTTGCTTTTAATCTCGGGATGTCCCCTTGGGCAGTTAAAACTGCAGCTAAATATTTCCGATTACTGTTGATCAGTTCTACAGATCAGCTTGGAAGAATTTTAGCCCATTTCTCCTTACAGAAAAGCTTCAGTACAAGAATTTGGTGCTCTTTCTTGCATGAACTGTCCTCTTCAGATCCTTCCACAACATTTCTATAAGATTAAGGCCAGGACTTGTACTTGGCTAGTCTAAAACATTAACTTTCTTCTGCTTCAACCATTATTTGGTTGTACAACTTGTCTATTTTGGTTTGTTGTCTTGCTCTGACCCACTTTCTCTTGAGTTTTGATTCACAGACGGATTCCCTGACATTTTCCTATAGAATTTGCTGATCGTGTTCAGGGTTCATAGTTTCACCCATGATGGCAAACTTTCTTGGTGCAGAGAAAGCAAGTCAGGCACAAACCATGTTATTGTCACTAACTGTGTTTCACAGAAGGGATAAGAGTCTTATGCTGGAATGCAGTGTTTGCCTTTCTTCAAACATAACATATTTTGTTCAAGTACAACTTCTATTTTAGTCTCATCTGTCAACAGAACTTTCTTCCAATAGTCTTCTGGTTTATCCACATGGTCTTTTACAAGATGTAGATGGGCAGCAGTCTTTTTCACTGAAAGTTGCTTTCTCCTTGCAATCTTGCCATGCATACTATTGTTCAGTGTTCTCCACATTCTTTGCTCTTGGTGGGATCTTGGTTAGTCAGCCATTCCTATGGAGCATAATTATTTATTTATTTATTTTAGGAAATTTACATTGCCGCTTATTCGCATGTGGTGACTCAAGGCAGCTTACAGAAATATAAAAACCTCATATGTAAAACAATAAAAGCAATAAAAAGAGAATAATCCTGCAATAATATTTGCACTCGAAAGCAAATCAGCAACCAATGCAGCTATTGCAGGAGAGGTGATACCTGTGGACACCGAGGTCTGCACAAAACCATGCGGGCCGCTGCATTTTGCACCAGCTGGAGCTTCCAGATGCTCTTCAAGGGCAGCCCCATGGAGAGCATGTTGCAATAGTCAAGATGGAAAGTGACTAGGGCATGAATGATTGTGAGTAGGGATAGGTAAATGTAAAGGTTCCCCTCGCACATATGTGCTAGTCATTCCTGACTTTAGGGAGGGGTGCTCATCTCCATTTTAAAGCCCAAGAGTCAGTGCTGTCTGAAAATGTTTCTGTGGTCATGTGGCCAGCATGACTAAATGCCAAAGGCACATGAATGTTGTTACCTTCCCACCAAAGATTGTCCCTATTTTTCTGCATTTTTAATGTGCTTTTGAACTGTTACGTTGGCAGAAGCTGGGACAAGTAATGGGAGCTCACTCTGTTATGCGGTGTTAGGGATTTGAACCGCCGAACTGCTGACTTTTCTGATTGCCAAGCTCGGTGTCTTAACCACTGAGCCACCATATCCCTGAGTAGGGACAATGGGGTGACATTGTTTCTGTTTGTACCTGATCTGCCTGACAGTGAACTGGTGGCATCCATACTTGTTGGAAATCATTTTGTAACCTTTTGCAGGTTACATGGAATTTTGTCCTGGGGACATAATCAACTTGTTTTGGAGGTTTTCAGAAATTTCCTTTCTTCAAGCCCATCCACACATCCACATATCTATTTTATAAAGATCAGGCTTTGATAGTCAATACCCAGAATCCAATTCTTTAAATAAGGCAGGACCTCCCATATTTGCATACTTAGCTTTGGATAATTTCCCATGATAGATGAATAAGTATGGTGTTTTTTTAACTTTTTAAATTTGGGTTCTCTTTATTTAGTTTTAGGACTTTTCTGTGGAAAAAAAATAGATCACATTTCTGCATAAATAGGATCTAAAATATGATCTGTTTTCTCAAAAATCCTAAAACTGTGTAAAGAGAACTCTATTTAAAAAAATGAAAATTAAAAAGGAAGGGTTCACAAAATTTTAAGCACCACTGTGTATTTCCTAAAATAATCTGAATGGAAATAGGAAGGTGAATTTTTGTCACATTTAGAAGACTGCTCCTCTCTTTTATTAGATCTTACTTCTAAGTAGAATGCTCAATGAGTAGATTCTTCTCAGATACAATAAACTTCCTTAGTAAATTCTTGTTGACGGTGTTATACTATGGGTGTAAATAAATTGCTGTTTTGTTCATTATAGTATAGTGCCACCTGGTGGATATTCTACTTTTCCCAACAGTATTATTAAAATGGAAATCTGGACAAGAAATTCCATGATAAAATTCATGAAGTATTCCTTTCTGTTCTAATATTTGAACTTCACAATATAGTTGTCTGTAAATGATAAAAATAGTCTTCTAGTTCTTTGCAACATACAGTATATGAATTGGTGTTCATGGAAATCTTCTGCTGGGCTTCTATTTGTTTTTCAATGCGTTGATGGTCACAGTCTTTACATTTGATTTAGTATATTTTGTATATTATTCTGCATTTAGTACTGGAGGGAGAATCTTGGCAAGTCCCAGGGAGGAGGCAGTAGATTCCAGAGGGAAATTCAATTAAAAGACTTCACAGTCCCAAGCTGGATAGGGGAAAGGAGGAAGATATCCAGGTTTGTCATGCCCTAGAATTTCCCAGGTATCTCTATAGGTTAGAAACTTATGGCTTTATTCTGGCAAGATTCTGTCTATTAGATGTATAGAATTGGAGTCTTTTGATTTATTGTATCACCTTTAGACAGGCTTGGTGTGCAGATACATAAAACATAAATCATTTATTTTATTTCTTGAATTTAAGCTCCTTGACTATTGAAATCTCTCAACGATTTACAATAAAGAACATAACCAAAACATAACACAAAGGATAAAATTAAAGTCATACTAGTAGTGTGACCCTTCTGTTATTTATTCAAACTGCTGTTTAAATATATTAAGTTGGAGTACATCATTGTACAGTTCATCCTCGACTTAGAACGGTTCATTTAGTGACTGTTCAAAGTTACAATGGCACAAAAAAGTGACTTATGACTGTTTTTCACACTTACAACTACTGCAGTATCCCCATGTTCACATGATCAAAATTCAGATGATTGGCAACTGGTTCATATTTATGATGGGTCATGTGATCCCCTTTTGCGACCTTCTGGCAAGTAAAGTCAATGGAGAAGCCAGATTCACTTAACAACCATATAACTAACTTAACAACTGCCATGATTCACTTAACAACTGTAGCAAGAAAAGTCGTGAAATGGAGCAAGAAAAGTCGTGAAATGTTACTCAGTCAGCAACATAAATTTTTGGACTAATTTGTGGTCATAAGTGGAGTATTACCCATATATGGTGGCAGAAAATGCCATAATTATCTTAGTTATTCGGTATGTGTTTTCTTTCATCAGTCCTAAATCTTTTTACATCTAGTTTCAATCAATTGCTGTTGGTTCCCTTATTGTGAGAGACCGAGAAATGTTTCACCAGTGACATTCCAATCATTTTATATACGGTACCTCTGCAATATATGCTCTTATCTTTCTGCTTTCCAAGCTAACAAGTTCTAGATGCTGTAGGCAAGATACTCCAAGATAACTATTTTAATTGCCTTTGCTATTTTTATTCACTGTTCATATTTATCTTTATTTAAAAAGAAGGGTTCATACATTTAATGGATTTTGTTCTGTGCAAATATGTCATGAATGTAAGACATAATATCTAATGACTAACTTTCAAACTGTCTTCACAGTAGCCATAACCCATATTCAATCGTTTTCTCTCTCTTTTTTCCAGCTTGATAGTATATTGTCTCCCCCACCTATGCCATTTCGAAAATCCAGTAATCCTGAAGTTTCTTCTGGGCCTGGAAAATCACTGAAATTTAAAAGGCAACTTAGTGAAGATGGACGACCTTTTAGAAGAGGAAGTCTTGGAGGAGCGCTAACTGGTAAGGAAAATGACTGTAAAAACACTCATGTACATTTCCTTTAGAATACACTTATGCAGTTTGAGGGATTTCTACCCATACTTGCTTGACCACTGCAGGGACAGAGTACAGGTAGGCCTCAACATAATTGAGCGCAAAATTTATGCTGCTAAGTAAGACATTTGTTAAGAGAGCCCCATTTTACAACCTTTCTTTCCTCAGTTGATAAGGTAGTAATCCAGTTGTTAAGTGAATCAGGCTTCCCCATTGCCAGAAGGTCACAAAAAGGTGATTACATGACCTTGGGACACAGCAATGCACATAAATATGAATCAACTGCCAAGTGTTTGAAATTTGATCACAAAGATCATGGAGATAGAGCTAAGGTTGTAAGTGTGAAAAATGGTCGTAAGTCATTTTTTCCAGTGCCGTTGTAACTTTGAACAGTCACTAAACGAACTGTTATAAGTCGCGGACTACCTGTACCTTTGGACTTATCATGTTCTTACTAACCAATGTTACAGCAAAACACAAATTAATCCTCTGTGATTGACTTCATTGTGTATGATAACTTATCTCTCACCGGTTGCCCTCACTGGTTGTCCTCTAGTAATTTTCTAATGTCAACCACGTCTATTTCTATATACTTATTCCTATAAACAGAATAATGCTTTACCAAATACTTTTATTTTAAAATGCCTTTGTATGCAACAAGCTGAAATATCAGAAAAGCTTGTGTAGGCAAATATGATCGAATGTATACATATATGTATATCAAACACACTGTTTTTTTTTTTAAGGGTAAGCAGCATTGTGCAGAGTGCACAAAAAGTATAACAAATAGTAAATCAACAAATTAAAGGCATTAGAAAAAATATATAAATGAATCTAAAAGTACGGGTAGTCCTCGACTTATGACCACAATCGAGCCCAGAATTTATGTTGCTAAGTGAGAAATTTGTTAAGTGAGTTTTGCCCCATTTTTCAACATTTCTTGCCACGTTTGTTAAGTAAATCACTGCAATTGTTAATTTAAGAACATGGTTGTTAACTGAATCTGGCTTCCCCATTGACTTTGCCTGTCAGAAGGTCGAAAAACCTTCTAACCCCGGGATACTGCAGGGGTCATAAATATGAATCAGTTGTCAAGCATCCAAATGTAAATCGGGGTGAAATGTTCTGAAGTCTGCTACTGGTTCGCTTTGCTACCAGTTCACTTTGCACAAGCACGCTTCATGTGCATGCGTGCCACAGGCGCTATCACATAGTACTGAAAAAGGAGGATTAAGAAACCTTTTCTGAGTCTGCAAAGGTAAGTAGAAGAACGAGGGGAGGAAACAGCTGTGCCGCACAGCTGATCATCAGAACTACGGTTCGCCTGAACCAGTAGTAAAAAAATGCTACTGGTTCGGACAAACCGCTAGTTTTGATGATCAGCTGTGCGACAATCAGCTGTGCTGCACGATTCACATAGCTGATTGTCAGAACTACCAGTTTGCCTGAACCGGTAGCATTTTTTTTATTACTAGTTTGGACGAACTGGTAGCATTTTTTACTACTGATTCAGGTGAACTTGTCTGAACCGGTAGCATTTTACCCCTGATGTAAATCATGTGACCTTGGAGATGCTACAATGGCCATAAGTGTGAAAAATGATCATAAGTCACTGAATGAACTGTTGTGAGTTGAAGACTACCTGTAATGTATATCAAGCCTACTCACTATATTTTGTAACCTTCCAAAGCTTTTGGCTTTCGACACATCCATACAACATTTCATGCATTCTGGTTTGTTCTCTACACTTCTCACCTATCCTTCAGGTTATTATTAATTCCATTCAACCACAACTTTGTTAGTTTTTCTTTTTTCATATATTTTTTAGGTTTATCCTCATTGGAAGTGCAAATTACCTCAATGCATTTCTTTTTCATACTGGTTCCTTACTTTTGTGTTCAGTATATGTTTGTTCAGTACACATTCATTCTTGACCCAGTCTCTTCTTGCTTTAGTATATATCTTAGTAAAGTATTCAATTCCCTCTACATTTAATTTACTTTTATTTCTCACACTTAACCTCCATATAACAAAGTGGAATGCAGCCATGTTTTTTTTTCTTTTGACAAACACTTGTTCTTCACAATAGATCATATGATGATCACTATTCTTCTGTTGGTATTTTCACATGTTAAAAGTTTCTTCAGCTGTTTAATTATCTTTGATGATCATGCTACTTATCTGTTTTCTCCAATTTCTTGCTGCTTATGTATATTTTCCAGGTGCTGAGTTACTTTAACCTGTTGAGTATAATTGTGTTGGTTTTTCATGCATCAGTTTTCAAAACCATACTTTGCATTGCATCATACATACACAACATTCTCTGTGGAGTTTTTGGTGCTCTCTAAGGTTGCTTGTTTTCTTGCACTAATGATGTTACTTACTTGGCTAATGGTCTCCAAGCAAACAAACAATTTCTAGCATCAAGAAATCCAGAGATGAAACCTGAACTGCAGATATTCTTTTCAATTGGGATAAAATTCTTTGCATGTCTTTTGAGTTTGAGGCCAACCATATGGCATCCTCTGCATACAAAAGCATACCAAGAGTTACCTCTTCAACCACTATATTTTCACTAGGATGACATTTATCCATAAATATATTAAACCACCAATAACCTATCATACGTTATTTTCTTTCTCAGTATTGAAACCCCTCATATGCATTCCATTTATTCTCATACATGTTTCATTTCCATCATATACCATACTTACTATATTCAGTAACTAACAGCCAATACCAACCTTAACCAAAATATTCCATAATTTTCATCTAAATCGACAAATACACAATAAATGATATTTTTCACATTTAATGACCTTTTGAAGAAGAAGAAGAAGAAGAAAAAATTGGTACGGATTTTCCCTGCTCTGCATAAAATTGCATTGTATTTCACAGTTTCTGCTCTTTTATACCTTTTATATCCTTTCAGTCAGGATTTTAACAAACACTATCTTGTGTTTGGTAAATTATTCACTCTATAGTTATTTTTCCCTTTTTTAAGGGAAATAATATTGGCAATTTTCCAATGATCAGTCAGAAATTTACTCTTCAGATAATGTTAAAAAGGTTACCCAAGTATCCATATTTTAATATTTCTCCAGTTATATCATCCATACATCATTTATTTTTTGAAAATTTCTTACAGCATTTTTACTTTGGATGTGAAGATTTATTTCCAGTACCGTATTTTTCGGAGTATAAGACGCACCTTTTTGCCTCAAAAAAGAGGCTGAAAATCTGGTGCATCTTATACACTGAATACAGCATTTTTGGCCTCCCGAAATCCTACCCCTTTACCAAAATGGCCATGCGTAGCCTTTAGGAACCTTGCAGAGTGGCAAAAATGAGTGAAAAACAGACTGTTTTTTGCCCCACCCCCACCCTAGGAGCACTCTATAAGCCTCCTAAAGGCTATGCATTCCCTTTTTTTTAAAAAAAAACTGGGCCGTTTTTGCATGTTTTTGGTCCCCCCAGTCCCCAGGAGGGCTCTATAAGCCCCCTAAAGGCTATGCGTGCTCTTTTTTTTTTGACAAAAACCGGGCCTGTTTTCACAAAAAATGGGCCGTTTTTGGGAGGTCTGCAGAGTGCAAAACCTTTTTTTTTTAATTTGCCTCTTCAAAATCTTGGTGCGTCTTATACTCCAGTGTGTCTTATACTCAGAAAAATACAGTAATTCTTCAACATTGCATAATCTTTCCGATACAAACATATAATATCTTATCTTTTAGCACTCATAATTTGGCACACAATGTATCCTCTTGAAACATTTTTTAAATAGTAAATGGGTAATAAATGTCTCTTTACTCCATTTTAGCTGATTTTTTTAAAAAAATTCAGGATGCATAGTTTTTTTGTGTTTGGTTTGTGGATGGGATGGAAGAAGAGAGATTGTGTAGTCAATTTTTCCTGTTAATTGATTTTTCAGAGTTCCTTCTACATCTCCATCACAAGAAGATAAGATTTTTTCCCTGAATATGCCAAACAGTGAAAATACTTTCATAAAAGCAGTTATTAAAAAGGATTTTTTGTTCTCACATTTTTTTTATAATTCCTTTGATACCAGACTGAATGCCAAGACAGGTTAAGTTCAATACTCCTTTTGAGCTTTTGAAAGCAGCGCTGGACTCTGATTTCACTGCAAATCTAAATTTATAGCATAAAATGATCACCTACATATTAAAGCATTTGAAAAAGAGGTTTTGACCCTGAGAGATTAGAGAAGAATCCTGTTAAACACCGGTATAGTAGGTGCAGAAAAGTGGAATGTATTCTTCAAAGCTTGACAAAGAATTTAATTGGCAGATAGGAAAGGGGTTGTAATATTAGACAAAGCACACTATAGGTTACTCACCCTTTTATTCATCTTCTGCAGGAATCTTTCTAAATAAAGTAAGCAGATCATTAAAATAACCATATAAGTGATAGCAGTGATACTAGGGTACTTAAGAATAGAACAAAGAAGAAAGAAAATAAACTTTGAAGTGTAAAATTTGAGCAGTTGAAAGGTTTCTTTTTATTAGTAATTATACCAGGTAAAGGAAAATGGATGTTAGCTATTTCAGGACCAATACAGTGACATTGCTGAGGCAAAGCTGTCTAGAATAGAAGAATATTAGGTGATGTAATAAGTCCCACCTTCATGGAAAATAATCTACGTCAGTGGTGGTATTCAGCAGGTTCTGACCAGTTCTGGAAAACCGGTAGCAGAAATTTTGAGTAGTTTGGAGAAGCGGTAAATACCACCTCTGACTGGCCTCACCTCTATCTATTCTGTGCCTCCCGAGTCCCAGCTGATCGGAAGGAAATGGGGATTTTGCAATATTACAATATCCTTTCCCTGCCACTCCCCACCAAATCACGCCCACAGAACCAGTAGTAAAAATTTGTGAATCCTGCCACTGATCTATGTGATTGCTAGGAGCTGATTTCAACTTGATGTAATGTGATCGATCAATCAATCAGTCAGTCAGTAAATCAATCAATGTTACCTTGAAATTGAGATATTTTAGATGAGAAAAATATTGAGGAAACATGAGAGGTAATGGATAAAGTACAGAAACATTTTAAACCTGGTGACACTTGAAATTTTGAGAATATGCAGTGAATGTACTCCCAAAATAGAAATTTTCATATTCTCAATATATGCTGAATGCTGGGCAGTCACATAACAAAAGATCCTCTTTTTGGGATATTTTATTTCATTTCAATAGAGGTTTTTAAGAAACTTTAGGCATTTATGCAATATGTCTAGAAAAATGAGTCACCAAATGATGCCAACATACAGTAGTTGATGAGCAATACATCAATACAGTTGATTTTTATACAATACATAATTAGGTTGTAAAATTGTCTACAAGTTATGACGATGACAAATTATTGTGATGGTTTTTAAGAAAAAAATTGAATAATAATAGGCCTATATTACTTAGTGAAAGTTGAAGATATTCTTCATTTTATCAAACGGATGCAAAGTATTTTATAATGGGAGTAGACAGGATGTCTGAGTTCATGCCCTGTTTCTGAACTTCCCAAAGGTATTAATTAGCTAGCCTGTGTTAAAAGCAGAAGGATGGCTTGAATAGCTCATTCGATTGATCCAGCAATCTTTCTATGAGCCGTTCTTTTGGGCCAGACTAATACTTCCTTGCTATTATGGCTTTTTAACCAAATAAGTTTGGTGAAAGTTAAAAACTATTTCATGTCTGCTCACTGGACAAGTTCATAAAATTGTATCCGAAAAGAATTAAACATATCTAGATGGAGAGAAAGACAGTAAGATTGAAAGTAAAAAGACGGAGTGTCTATTAATTCAGAACCTGAATTATTCCAAGAGAGTGCCAACATTAATTCTGATTTGGGTGGGGCTCCCCAGAAAGAATGATTCAGAATATGGAGATTTTCCTGGACTCAGAACTCTTACTAGAAGATATGGCCAGGAGAATCTTCGCCCAGTTCCACCTAGTTGACCACTTAACTAGTTAACTTTCCTTGAAACAAAATTTACTGGCAGCAGTCACTTAATGACTTTATAATTTTCAACTGGATTATTATAATATGCTTATATGGGCCACCTTGAAGGTCACCTGGGAACTCCAATTGGTATATAATTCAATAACCTATATTGAACTAATAGAACTCTTCTGATATTGTCATTCATCACCAATATTACAGGACCTGCATTGGCTGCTATTTTGATTTCATGTGCAATTCAAGGTGCTTTTAATCATCTATAAAGTTCTACATAATTTGACACTTACATATCTATGAGATCATCTGCTTCAAGTAAAATTTGCCTGCCTAAGAGATATTTACAAATGGTGCAGCTAGATGTTCTAGATACTTGCAAAGTTTAGCAGGAAAGGACTTAGAGATGAGTATTCTACGCTGGAGTTCCTTTCCTGTGGAATCGGTAACCTTCAGAAGATCTGCATCACTGTTAATATTCAAATAGTTTGCTAAGATTCAAATAGTTTGCTAAGACCCAGCAGTTTAGTTGGTGAAGAATTTGATGGAGTCTGGGATGTATATTGTTGTTGGCTGTTATTATTATTTATGTTGAACTGTATGTTATATAGATTTTGGGGATGGAGTATTAATTGTTTTTATATATGGTACCAGATCTTTAAACTGCTTTTGATTGAAGTGGCATAAAAGCAACAGAAATAATGAAAGAAATCCATTTATAACTGAGATACAAAACATCATGTAATAGATACTGCAGATACAGATATTATAAAACAGTGGCTAGACTTCAAAGATCTAAATAGATTAAAATTGAATTCGTGTTTAAAAAAAAACTCTTTTTCTTTCTATTCATTTGGTGTTTTTCTCTGATGTAATGAACTGTGATATTGATTAAAGTACATCCTACTCAATCTGAAATGTGCTTTTGCCACTTATTTCTAAAACGTTTCTATTATTTATGGACATTAATTTTAGCTTAAGCATTGAGCTGGATCTCATTTCTTCCTTTTATTACAGATCGCATTGAAAAAGTGAAAGTCGTTTTTAAAGAGCAAAGAATTAAAATAACACTAATTGTAAATGTTAACTGGGCAATTATTTCAAACTGCTGAGAATATTTTAGGACCTCAATAATGTTTGCTAGATAGCTTTTATTACTATATATGAAAAAAGGGAAAGGGGCATGAAAGTGCTGAATTTTGTTAATGGGGTTTGCTTGCATTAGCCAAGGACAACATAATTAGGACAGCTGTAATTCTAGCTTTGATTGAATTTTATCAGCTTTAATAGACTGGAGGTTCATCATTGTTTTAAATCTGGCAGAGAAAGAAGTGCTGTCCATTAATTTTAACCATATGTACTTGAGTAATACACTTGACAGATGCTAATTTCCTTAAGTTGTAAGCAGCAAATGATGCATGAATTAAGCAGCACCATACTTTTTATGCCTGCTTGTATTCCTCCCCTGTTGGGTTTAAATAAAGTTTCTTGATGTTGCCACAACAAAATTAAATAATAATAATAAAATTAAGGATTTGAAAACATTGGTTTAAAATCAATTCATTATCTATTTTTGATATTAAGATTAATGAGTATTATGTTAAATATGTTACATATGTTTATGTTAAGCACAAATTCAGGCATGTGTATTTCATCTTTTGTTTGGTGAGATTGATACAATGGGAAAGCCTGCGGTAATAAACTATAACTCCTGGCTAGATTCTTAAAAAAATGTATTTTCCATCCTGAAGTTAAATTATAATTATAAAAGTAATATTTGATGTAGATTCTTTTCTAGAATGGATATTATGGAAAATCTTGCCCCTGTGTTTCTCTGGGGCATACCATGTCAGAATGGTGGGTGTAGAGGAGAGAAGAACAACAACAAAAAATTCCCTATTTTGGGATTGGATTCTGTGGACCTGATATTGATTGTACTTTAGATAAGGCTCTATATTTTGGTTAGATAATGTTCAATTTTTTAAAGCAATAGCTTTATCTTTGAAAGGTCAAATAGATTTCCTTAGGATTCAACTTCCAGTGATTTATTTCTGTCAGGAGAACCGTTGGTTTAGTATTTTGACAATGCAGTACATGCAGTAACTAGCATAATATATATGTACCAGTTTTTCTTTTATAAATTCTCTTAAATGACTGGCCACATACACATCTTGAACTGCAGGCATTCGCAAACAAAATAATACTACAAACAGCTAAATTATATTGACAGGTATATTACATGCCTCTTACAGTGCAGTGGATAGATTATAGGAGATGTGTTATCTAACAGTTTATTAATCTCAAATAGGCAGCACAAATGAAAGAAGAAAGGAATTGCTATTAACCTGTAACTGAACTATGCCTGTTCATCCATGTTAGTTTGTCATATAAAATTATTACTTTGCCATCTGGGGATGGTTGAAAAACTCTGAATTTAGAAGCTTGCAGTATAAAAGCAGAAATTTGAGAATTAGAGGTAGTCCTCAATTTACGATGAAAATCGAGCCCAAAATTTCTGTTGCTAAGTGAAACATTTGTTAAGTGTGTTCTGCCCCATTTTAGGACTTTTCTGGCCACAGTTGTTAAGTGAATCACTGCAGTTGGTAAATTAGTAACAGGGTTGTTAAGTCAAACAGATTTCTCCATTGACTTTGCTTGTTAGAAAGTTGTAAAAGGCAATCGCGTGACCCTCTGGACACCACAACTGTCATAAATACAAGTCTGTTGCCAATTGTCTGGATTTTGATCATGTGACCATGGGTATGCTGCAATGGTCGTAAGTGTGAAAAATGTTCATAAGTTTTTTTTTTAAGTGATGTTGTAACTTTGAACGTTCACTAAATGAACTGTTGTTAGTTGAGGACTATTTGTACTTCTTGTTAAATTTCTCCAAATGTGCCCAGTTTTTAGCTCTAAGATTTGCTTTTACCTGCCTTAATTTTGCAGCACTTTGTTAACTTTCTATATTATGTACTGTAAACTTAGTTTTAACAATTATTTTCATCCTCTCGGCAGGCAGGTACTTGTTGCCAAATGCTGTTACTCAACATTCATGGCAAACTGGCGAAACTTCCAATCTTGTCCGAATGCGCACTCAAGCTCTTGGACAATCTGCTCCTTCTCTGACAGCTAGCTTGGTGAGTTACATTTCCAAATATTTGTTCCGTCAAAAAAAGATTAATGTTAATATAATATTATGGCTAGGATTTTATTTGCACACGAGTCGAATAATCCCCAATTGCTTTCCAAAACCACAGTAATTCAGGGCCTTTCACATAACTGGGGTCGATTATTGTATATCATAGTACTAAACATGTTCAATGTATCTGAATTACGTTTGCTGGGAGGCTTCTAATTTTGAATTGTGTTACTCATTTCATATAAAATGAGCTGGCAGCATATTTTATTATAAGTTTTTCCATTTAAGTCATCTGTTTAAGAAAAAGAGGCCATCGCATTTTTTTTAAAAAACCCACTGGTTTAAAATATTAGACTTTTTCTGGATTATCTGTTGCTGTATGCATGTAACAGGCATACTCAACAAGTATGATTCTCTTATCTGCATATTTGGATGTTACCAAATAATGGGTAGAAACGTAAAATAGCATGCAGTATTTATTTAGTGCAGAAAATAAAAGTTTTATGTTACAAAAGAGTCTAAATCCGATATTTGTAGATGGTAGTTTCCATGGTCAGTTTTGTGAGAATGTTGATAACATACACTTAAAAATCCAGATGTGGGATGTGTTATTGTTTTCTATCTGACTGCTGACTCTACATTAGGCGCAATAATTGATAGTTGAAAGGGTGAACATATTTTGCATTTTAAGGTATGGTTGGGTGCATGTCATCCAGTATTATTATGGAAACAGTGTTGTAAACATAATGTCCAGTAGATGGCATAAAAACCAAGTGTGTATCATACAGCATTATTGCTCTATTTTGAGAAAAGGTTCTTACTGGTTTTGTTCTTAAGTCCTACTAACTGGGACTTTCCTCTGAGAAATACATTTATATTTCTACATTCATTTTATTATTGTCTTTTTAAACTATTTAGTAGATAAGACATTGCAATGATTATAACATCTTCCCGTGTTAGGATTCTAGAAGCAAAATATAGTTTTCACTTTGAAAAAAAAATGGAGCTGACTTCTTCCAACCAAGCTGTTAACTAATGCTTATTAATTATACAGAAGGATTAAAACACATACTGATATATTAAATAAAATAATGAAATATTTACTATTTGTGCAAATATTTTATGAATATGAATGCGATAGGAATTTGGAATTTCAAAATTGTACTCATATCTGAAATTCAAATAGATTTTAGAATTGCAGCTTCAGAATTCTAGAAAACCCACCCAACCCGTTCATATTTATTGATTTCTGCTGCTTTTCAAAAACTGATTTGTAAAGATTCAAATTTCTAGCTATTCTCATTTGAGGCTCTTTTCTCTTGAGCTTTCCCATCTTGTGCTTATTCAGATCTCTAAGTTACAAACTGCTGTTTATGCTCAAGGAAGTGAGAGTTCTGGATCCTTCTTCATAACACACTTCTTGGTTTGGTCTATGAACTGAAGTTTAGCAAGGCAGTGTCTTTGGAAGCCTTCTAATTAGGTGCAATTCTCATGAGAAAATATTTTCTTCTGTATGAACCAGATAGTATACTCAATTTCCTCTGCTCCATTCTTGTTGTTCAGTAGTCTTTTTGATAGTTACATCTTTCAACTTTCCTTTGATGTTTCTTCTGAATCAGTCTTTGCAGTACTGTTTAATTTTCTGGAATTACAAAAGAATGAGACCATTCATTCATTCATTCATTTTGAAGAGGAAAAGTTGAAGATGGTAGCATTACTTTGCACCTATGAGCTATTTGATCACTAGGGCTGATCGTGAGAAATAAATAGGGCTAGGCTGGGGACTTCACACCCAATTCTTTCTGTTTTATTAGTCAAAGGAATCTCTTTCTTTAAGAAAAAGAGTACATACATTCTCTCACTTGAGACTTAACCACAGCCTTCCTGTAAAGTTGTTAGTTAGAAGAGAGGCATTTTTATCTTCTTGGTATCATCTAATAAATGTAACTTTTACTTCAAATATAATGAGTACCTATAACCATTTGTTGCTAATTGGACTAATTCCATACAGTTAGTCAAACAAAATGTGTGTGTGTGTGTGTGTGTGTGTATAACTTTGAAGCTGTTTATCCATAGCTCTAGATCAGTGGTTCCAACCTTTTTTTGGCCATTTCCCACCTAAGCATCTCTCAAATCTTGGTGCCCTCCCCATGACATATAATTCTTACTTTATTCAAAAAGGCAGCTCTACTCATGTGGAGGAAGCCTAAAAGGCCATTATCTTGGTTTAAACAAGGTTCAAATTACCCCCATTAAAAATCAAATTGCCCCCCTGTGGGTCATGGGTCCCACGTTGGGAACCACTGCTCTAGATACACATTTAAGCAACCTTACATTAACAATAACATTTCACAAACATAAACTTTTTTCTTTAACTTTAAAGGTTTAAATTAAAGTCCTAAAATAAAATAAAATAAAGCTTTAACATATGAACAATGGTTGCAGGAACTGGGTATGTCTAGTTTAATGAAAAGAAGAAATAGGGGTGACATGATAGCAGTATTCCAATATCTAAAGGATTGTCACAAGGAAGGGGAGGAGTGTTTCCAATATATTCTTTAAAGCACCTGAAGGAGCAAAAGAACGGATGAAAACTAATCAAGCAGAGAACCAACCTGACAGATAGAACAATTAATCAGTGGAACAAGCTGCTTCCAGAAGTTATGAGTATTCCAACATTGGATATTATTAAGAAGAGATTAGAACATTTGTCTGAAATTGTCATGGCCCTGTCAGGTTCAGAAGAGGAGTAGGAATAGAAGTTGGAATCGGGATCCAACTGTATCTGCCTACGTGACCTGGGTCAGAACAGAAATTGTATAGGGTTTCCTGCTTGAGCAGGAACTTGGACTAGAAGACCTCCAAGGTCCAATTCTGTTATTCTATTAAATTATCTAAATCCTCGAATCTTAATAAATTCCAGTATTATACAAATGTCACTGTACCCAAATGTAATTTTAGTATTTTATAATGCTATAGAACAATATGTAAAAAATAAATTAACATAAAGACAAAGCGTTGGATTTTAAGTAAAGACCAGGTTACCTTGTCTTCAATCCATTACATCAACCCATCTCACATGGTCAAGCAGGGAAGGTATGTTGTGGACCTCTTCAGCCAAAGAATTCCAACAGATGGGGTCTAGGAAGAGAACCTCTTTCCTGCCCTGTGGAACATTCCCAGATATAGGCGGAGAGAAAACCTGGCTCTCCAGCAGTGTGTGGGGCACTTAGAGGAACCTTCAAACATGGGGCTGGTTAGTGTCCTGAAAGCCTTCGCCTCACCATTTACCGTATTTTTCGGAGTATAAGCTGAACCTTCCCCCACCAAAAGAGTGTGGAAATGTTGGTGCGTCTTATACACTGAATACAATCCCTGCCCCGCATACCATTTTTGCAAAAAACGGGCCATTTTTCGCAGAAACGGAGGCATTTTTGACTTCCTCCATCACCCAGCAGCACTCTGCAGGCTTCAGCAGGGCTGGCGGAAGGTGCATCTTATATACCGGTGCATCTTATCATCTGAAAAATACAGTAATTAATTTTTAACATTGCTTGCATGTTTTTAAAATTTTATATACAGTTTTGATGTTTTTAGTATTTTATTTGTACACTGTCCAGAGTGCCTATGTGAGGAGATGGGTGGTTTTAAAATTTTGTTACTGAATTTCTAGTGTTACCAACAGATACATTATAGGTTCTGGAATATCTGGAACTTTGTTTTAACTATAAAGCAGTTGTTAAAGGTAGGGTGGAAGTGACATTGAAAAAGATAACATCTTGGCAAAGACTATGTAGAGGAAAAATGCTAAAATCCATTATACAGCATAGAAATGCCCCATACCAAATAGCATAAAATAATAATGTTTCTAAAGTAGTACACTAAATAATTATTTTAAAAAATTGGGGCGGAACATTGGGTGATTTGCCCCCCAATAACCAACTATTAATCTTATATTTAGCTTATTTTGAATTATTATTCTTGAAAAAGATTTCTGTCCTTCTTGCCTTCTAATCATTGACATTAGAAATGCCGATAAATACTTAAGTAGATCTAAGATTTTATGTAGCCTTACAGTATGTTACAAGTTTGATATTACTGCCGTTTTTCCCAAAACGGGGGCATTTTTGCCTTCCCTCACCCCCCAGAAGCACTCTGCAGGCTTCAGCAAGTCTGGGGGAAGGGAAAAATGCCCCCATGTTGATGAAAAACAGGCAAAAAACAGGCTGTTTTTGCCTTCTCTCACCCCCCCCCCCCGAAGCACTCTGCAGGCTTCAAGCAGGGCTGGGGGAAGGGGAAAATGCCCCAGTGTGGATGAAAAACGGGGGCATTTTTGCCTTCCCTCAGCCTTACTGAAGCCTGCAGAGTGCTCCGGGGCTGGGGAGGACAAAACCTTTTTTTTCCTGACTTACCTCTTCGAAATCTTGGTGCGTCTTATATACCGGTGCGTCTTATAGTCCGAAAGATACAGTACTTTACTTATTGAAGAAGAAATCTTCCACCAGCCTTTCTAGAAATCTAGTGATTCAGTGCAGCTGGTGAATTTGCACCAGTGCCAAAATAATGATCCAAATGCGCCTCAGTGGGGACTGTTTCTGTCACTGACTGAGTGAGTAGTAACTGTCCAATCTTTAAGGCCTCTTGTGTGATATTTTCCCTGACTCACTTAGCATTTGGTAATTAACCATGATGTGTTTGACTAGGACTGTGTCCCAGCAAATACTTCTGTTACAGTCTAGAATTAATTCTTGTTGGATAAATAGAAGTAAGTTCTTCAAAATTTACTTCAGCTGGATAGATAATAAAATGCTCTGAGACATGCGTGTTGATACAGAAAATATATAAAGGTGTTATTAACAGCACTCCCTTTAAGGGATTGTATCAGAAGCCTTGCCGAGTTTATATTTTGTTCTGTCAGAAACATCTGGTTTAACGAGCTTAGACTTACTAGAGGTTGGAAGAATCTTTGTGTGAATGTCATGGTGTTGGCAGAACACT